CCAAGGCCCGAAGCAGAGAGGGACTGGGCTGACAGAGGGGCTGAAAGGGGGTCATGACAGATGCAGTGTGAGAGCCGAGGTGTGGTATTGTGACAGCTCGAGCAGCTGACTTGACACTGAGCACAGTCACAAGGTCAAGCTTGTGTCTCAGCAGGCTTGAGGCCTGGGGGAGCCACCATGTACCAAGGAGACCATACAGTGGGTGATTACAGTGGTCCAGAAACCATGGCTGCTGGGAGCAGGCAGAGCGTGCTGATGGGCATACATGGGGATGGGCCAAGGGAGGAATGTAAATGGATGCTTCCAGTTCCTTCCTTCCTCACTAAGCCAGGGAAGCAGTGAGGAGGGAGACAGGCTAGCTGCCCAGATAGTTCCACATGGTGAGGGGAAACCCCATCTCTAGGCCTGGCCTCAAAGGCTGCTAAACTGGTAAGTACAGAAGAAGGTCGATTGAACTATGCCAAACACTCATGGTTGGGGGCCAGGGATGCTGGTCAACAGACAGGAAGTTACAGATGACAGGAGTCCCGCTGCTATATGGCACAGGCACGGTGACTACAGCAACAACACATTGTGACTTTTTGTTTGTTTTTTTCTTCTTTTGAGGCAGGGCTTCTCTGTGTAGCCCTGGCTACCCTGGAAGTTCTGCAGACTGGCTGGCCCCGAACTCAGAGACCTGCCTGCCTCTGTCCCTCTAGTGCTGTGATTAAAGGTGTGCTCCTCCACCTCCTGGTGAGAAGAGATTTTAAAGGGTTCTCTCACAAAAGGCATAAATGTTTAAGGTGATGGACGTACTAACTAGATAAACTGATAATTTGGCAGTGTATCAAAATGTCACCTTGTACCCCATTTTGTCAATTAAAATAAAATAGGACTGAAGAGGTGGCTCAGTGGCTAACAGCACTCCAGGGACCCAAGTTTGGTTCCCAGCAACCATGTTAGGCAGCTCACAATGCTCAAGGGGAACTAGTGCCCTCTTCTGGCATCTATAAGCACCTGCCCTCACATGCACATACCCATATGTACAAATTTGCATGCACATATACACACACACTTTAAAATGATAAAAATTCTTTTTTAAAAAAGTCATAAAACAAACATTTGAAATAACCTACATAGTTAGATCTCTTGGGACAGTTTGTCCTGGAGGAGGACTCCCAAGGAGCCCTATGAATGACCAGCCATCTCGATGGGAAAGAACAGACCGGGCCCAGCAAGTGAATTTTGTTTCTACTAATTGAATGTGATACAGCCCATGTTTAATTTACAAGAACTGTGGCTCAGGGACACAGCCAGACACTGAACACCCAGCTCATTTTGCTGGGCAAAAGTGGAGAGGGGTACCCCCCTGGTACAATAAAGCATGAGGGGGGGCCTTGCATGGGGGACCTTGGTGGATCCCATGGTAGGTGAGGTTGACCAAGGCAGGGGGACAAACATGCCAGGCAGACAGAGCTTAAGTGAGAAGTTTTAATAGAAAGGGGAGGGAAGGGGCAAGGAAAGAGAGGAAAGGTAAAGAGACACACAGAGAGAAGAGGAGAGGAGAGGAGAGGGGAGGGGAGGGGAGGGGAGGAGGAGAGGAGAGGAGAGGAGGAGAGGAGAGGGAGATAGGAAAAGTCCTGCCTGCCCCAGGGAAACAGCAGGAAAGAGAGAGGGAAAAGAGAGAGTGGAAAGAGAGCGGGAAAGACTGGAGCAGGCAAAGAATGGAAAGAGAGAGTAAGTGGGCAGAGGTCTTTCTTTTAAAGGGGTCCTTTGCACCTGGGCTGACCAGAGTGCTGCCTGAGTGCATTCTGCCAGGTGACGGGCAGGCCAGCATAATGCCTGAATCCTCACACCCCCTAGTCAAGGAAGTCAGTATATACATTCATGCCGTCCTATATGTCCCATTTTAAAACCAGGAAACCAGGGCTCAGAGGAGGTGTGTTCCATCCCAAGAGCACACAGCAGAGCGACTGGGCTGGGCTCTCAGCTGAGGTCTACCTCATGCCCAAGTTTCCCAGGGCTACCCAGCGTCCTCTCCTTCTCCGCAGGGTCTAGGGCCAAGGACAGGGCGCGGGATGTGGAGAGGGTCTCGGAGGCTTATCCAAGCAGTGCTCAGAGCTCTAGCAAGTACTGTGCAGAGCCAGTGGGCAAGGAGCAAGCAGGCCATGTGAGAGTCAGTCAGAGGAGGATCCATTTCTGCCAGAGCTTTTCTTCCTTGACTCTTCAGCACCTGTTTCTCCCACGGCCTCAGTTCCAAAGGACTGTCAGTCTAGTAAGGACATTGCTGTGTGATTACCTGAACAGTGGCTCAGGCGAGAGAAAGCTTCCCTTCCCGAGAGACTCCTCCACAAGCGCTCACCTTTCCCACCCGGTAAGACCTGGACCTTTGTGCGTTGCTCAGGGATTACGGGGTGAGGTCATTCCCTGGCAATCCTGGGAGATGACCTCAGCAGAGTTAGGCAAATCCCAGGTGTGGCTCAGGTGAGCTCATTGCCCCAGGGAGGCTTCTCCCAGGCAGGGATCCCTGTCTCCTAGCCAGAAGAACTGGAGCGGGCAGCTGCCAGGGCTGAAGGGCCACACAGCACAAGGGGCCAAGGTGCCTGAGGGAGGACAAATGCATGGCCTGTGGCAATCTGGGCTGGTGGTTATGTAAGGCCAGAGCTGGCTACTCCCCCTGGCTGTATATGGTTCAGTCACCGCACCGCCTACTGATGAGGTCAGCAAGGCTGCCTTCTGTGTCCAAGGCAAATGTTCCAGGCCGGCTAGCTTCCTGCCACCCCAGGTGCAGCCTCACCCACAGCCACCTTGCAGGGTTGCCAAGGCTGACTGGCTCCACTGGATGGGGTTGAGCTGGTTTTAAGAGGCTGCCACAAATTAGCTCACCTCGGAGAAAAGAAACATTCGGTGGGCACACTACAGTTTAGGGACTTATTGGCCTGACAGCCTGTGGGCTATCCTCCTGCCTCTGCCACTTAGAAGCTGAGGTACCTGGGGCAGGTGCTTCATCTCTCAAACCCCGTTTCTTCATCAGAAAAACTGGAGCAGTCCCAGGTGAAGTTTAAAATAGGGAAACTATGACAATAGAGGTCTCAAGAATGGTAGTAGGCGGGGTGCACAGGAGCTTTCTAGATGGCAGAAATCTATCATGGCTCAACTAAGATGATGGCTAGGAGGGTGACCTCAACTTTTGGACTTGTGCATCTGCTGGAAGTCATACATGCTTCAACAAAAAGAAACCAATGAGGGAAGGAGGTGGAAGAAGGGAGGAGAAGGAGAAAGGAAATGAGCAAGGATTCTCAACAGCTCTTAGGGCTACTGAAGGTCAGGCTGAAGCTTCAGGCTGCTCAGGCCAGGAGATAAATTGATGATAGATAGATAGATAGATAGATAGATAGATAGATAGATAGATAGATGGATGGATGGATGGATGGATGGATGGATGGATGGATGGATGGATAGGTAGATGGATAGATGATAGATAACGCATAGATGGTAGATAGATAGCAGGATAGATGATAGATAACAGACAGATAGATGATAGACAGACAGACAGACAGAACAAGCACATGTCTCATTTTCTCTCCAGGGCTGACCACAGGCTCTGCTTGGCAGAGAAAACACAATGCCAAGGAGTGCGCAAGCTGCCAAGGTTGACCTCCTGGCTGCAGTACCTCAGGGCTGATTGACCTTGGACAATGGCTTGATCTTCAACAGCCTCAGTTTCCCTAGAAATAAGCTGGGTCTTTCACAATACTTGATTCTCCATTTTTATAGGATTTCTATCCTTGGGTTCAACTAGTTGAAGATAAAAAAAATCTCAGAAACAGAAACTGAGTCTGTATGGGACACACACGACTTCTGTCCTTGTTCCTTAGATTATACATAAGTGCCACAACTATGTGCACAGCACGCACTGTGGGCTAAGGTAAGTCATCTGGAGGGGGGAGTGGGCCTAAAGTAGATGGAGGAGGTGCAGAGGTGACATGAGAACACCACACTCTCTAGGGTCCCAGCAACCCTTAATGTTCTGATATATCAACAATGAGATTGCTAAGGTGGCCGATGAGAACAAGGGAGTGTTGAGCACAGTCTTACTATAGACTGGATGCTCAGTCTCTAGCCATTATCTTTATTGTTAATACCAACATTTAATGAGCTAAAATAACAGGGACAATGATGGTCTCCATTGCAAGATGTTGTGGTGAAGGTCAAATGCATTATGCATGTTAGAGACGTAGCACAGCCCAGTATATTCTGCCCCATGAAAAACGCTGGGAGATGCCCCAGCCCTGAGCTCCAGGCCACACTGGGGACAACAGTGGGTTTTTGCATGTGGCATCCCTGTAACACAACAAGCCAGTGCTGGACAGGATTACTGTGTCTTCAGTAAGGAGCACAAATGACTGGCTGAGTTCACACAGGCTGCAGGAGGCAGAGGAGGATGCTACCAAGGCAGTGTCCTGCATTTTCCATTGTGTTACACCGTCAGTATGGAGAGGACAGGGATCCCTGGAAAGCAGGACATCCCCCAGGGAGATGGGTGATGCAGGTGTCGCTGTCTTTTCTGATAATCTTCAGATGGCCACCCTAGGGCCTCAGGAACTATAGAACAAGGAGGCCCTTAGGTCCAAAGGCTTTCTGCTCTACAAACCTCCCTGTTACCTCCTCCTCTCACACTGGAGGAAGCAATGATGACTGAGACCCCCCCACACACACACCAGGATAGGACTCTTGGGTGAGTTCTGTGGAATGAACACAAACTTGGGGGTGCACAGGAGAATGTGGGTGGAGGTTCTCAGGAGTCCCGGGAAGAGGAAGGGTGTGTGCTGGAGGAGGGGTGGGGGCACATTCCAGGTGGGAGACACCAGCCAGCAGCACTGCATGGCCTGAATGCATGGGGAGGAGGTGGGTGAGAATTGGCCTTGTACGGACAGAGGATGAAAGGGTTGGGAGGTATTGGTGGGGGGGATGTAGGTGGAATGCAGGCGAAGGCCTTGAGATTCTAGGCTGAGGTGGGGAGTCTGATGACATCTATGGAAAACAATTTTATTTGCTTTTAGAAGAGCACTTGAATAGTTCGGATTCCTGCCCAAGGTTGCTGGCCTCCATGCCTAACAATCTGATCAAATGGAAACTTCCATGCAGTGGGGAAGCTGCTGTAAAAGGTAGGGTGAGAGCAGGAGGGAGGGTGACCGGTAAGCCGCAGACCCTTGGCTTTTAAACCCCGACTTCCGTAGTGAAAGGAAAATGACTGCCTAACAGATAGATGCCCTCCACAGCCAGCCGCCTACTCCTTACCAGGGCCCGCCGCTCAAGTTCTCTCCTCTCCAAACCCACTTTTCAGGGGTGATCTTTCTGAACAATGAATCTGCCATGCTGAGCCCAGGAGCCTTCGAGCCTCCCACTGCTAAGGACGAGGCCTGGATGCTCTACAATGTAACATCTTAGTTCCACCAGTCCTGGCCACAATCAAGACTCAGTTCAGGGGTGTCAGGTAGGAAGGAGCCCCCACTCTTCCTTTGGCTAAGCTCCTAGTCTCCCCAATTTTGGCTCAGTAGAGGGACATGTCAGGACCCAGCTCAAGGTAACTTCTGAGCTCCTACTTCCTGAGTGGCCTCTTCCAGCTTGCTATCTTAACTCTACAGGAGAGCCCTGAGCCAGTCTTCTGGTCAATAGGTTTTAAACTTAATTTGGTATCACTACTGTGTGTGTGTATGATGTGTGTGTGTGTGTACACACAGGGAGGTCAGGGGACAAGTCTGTTGAGTGGACCCAACCTGGCTTCTGAGTTCTGCATAAGTACATGCAGAATTCTGCCCACTGAGGCATCAGCTCTAATCATCAGTAATTCTGACCAAAAAAGCCAAGGCTCTAGAACATGCCCTGCAGAGATGGGTGAGATGATGGGGTGCTCGGACTGTGGATGTCCACATGACTTAAGACTCTGTTTCTCCCCTTTTACTAACTTTATGGGTTTTTAGCTGTTTGGTGCCTCAGTTTCCCCCAGAAACTCAAGGGTGTATTGTGACAAATTTTGAGGCAACCATTGCAAGACACTGACCTGGGCATATGAGCCTAGCATGTGGCTACTTACAATACCTAGAAAGCACCATAAGGTATATTATGTTAGAAACAACTGGTGGAGGGTCTGAGCAGCTACATTTTTTAAAAAATCATAAACCCTACCAAGTGAGTAACTATTAATGTCTTTAGGACTTGGCAATCAAGGGCTAGCCACTTTCTGAGAGGTGGGTATGCCCCTGGATACATTGAACCTCTGAATATCCCAGGAGACACCTTTTTTTTCATTCTGGTCAACACTCTGGCCAAAGCCCAGGTCAGGAGCCAAGCACCCATCAAACCTCCCGTCTCTCACTCAGCGGGGCAGAATGAGCATCTCACCATACTGTCAAACACAGGCCAGGGCTGCAGTGCTGACCCAGTCAGCGGTGACCTCATTTCCGTAGGTTATATACATTGTCATGGCAAGAGGAATCCGCTGACCCACTGTGTGTGGTCTGTCACAAAGCCACCAGACAGGACCAGTAGCCGCCCCAAAAGAGAATGAACTCTCCTTCAGTTTCTCCCCGTCCTATGCTTCCTGGGCCAGGATGAATTCTCCTTCAGTTTTCCCTATCCTATGCTTTCTGGGCCAAGTTGCTTCTGTTAAAGAAAAGAGCTCAGCGTGAACAACACAACCATTTGTAGGCTGCTGTGTGAAGTCTTGGGCTTGCCTGGACCCTGGTGAGGAAGGACAGGGAGGGAGGTAGCAGGGAGCAGTCAATGGGCCAGGTTCAAGCCTTCTTGGCCCTCTTCCTTCCTCATGGGACCACAGCATCCAGGAGGCAGGAAGAGGAAGTCCCTGAGCAGGGGAGGGGAGGAGAGGGCATAGGGAACACACTGTGCTCTGCCACTAACAGCCCTGCCCTAGGTAAACAGTAGGCAAAGTCCACCGTCAGGGCCTGCTTGAGCAGCCCGGCCTGCTACACAGCTTTCGCAGGCCCAAGCTCTGACATCAAGAGTCACTTGTATGTGGCCATACCTCAGTGCCACAGGCACGCCCTCACTGGGCTGAGCTGACTAAAGCTTCCTCAAGTGTTACAGGGTACACAAATCCACCAAGAGACAGGGTCTGACTGATGGCAGAGTTCATAGGCCTTGGGTTAAGTATCCTTTAGCCAGGTCACCTTGCTCCGTCTTCCTAAAACACCGGGTCCACCCATCTAACTGTCCTATCCCCACCCGCTCCTCACTAACTAGCTCCACCCCACACCACTGTTTCCTCAGAGCACCTCCCACAACTCACTTATGGTTTAGCAACGGTTTATAGCATTTACATTTTATTATATAATCTAGCAACATGAAGACAGCTTAAAGTAGGTGGGAAGACTATACCACTGTGATCTCAGGATTCAGGAGGAAGCTCTGGGCCACATAGTAAGACCTCCATCCCAGAAAACAAAACAAAAACAAAAGCAAGGGGCTGGAGAGATGGCTCAGTTGTTAAGAGCGTTGCCTGCTCTAGCAAAGGACCCAGGTTCAGTGGCCAGCATTCCATGGTGGCTCACACCCTCTGTAACCCCAGTCCTAAGAGATCTATCCAATGCTTTCTTCTAGCCTTGGGGGAAACTATGCATGCACATAGTACACAGACAGACATACATGCAAACACTCATACATATAAAATAAAAACAAACAAATCATTAAGGAAAGAACAAAAAGCTATACACAAGACGATTATGGGTAGCTTTTATGTAAATGATATGTAGATTTTATGTAAATGAGACAGAAAGGACTGAAATGTTGGGCTTCTGTGGTGAGGGTCCCAGAAACAAACTGAAGGAAAACTGGGGGAACAACTACAGTCTAGTTGGTCTGCCTGTGTCCACATCCAGCAGGAGAGAGCTTTCGGAGACCACAGTCAAAGCGGAAACACTGTTAACGAAGCAATTACAGGACTGTGGCCCAACCTACCCTGGCCTTTACATCCCTGCTTGCCCACTCTGCGACAGTCAAGCCCGTCTCTCTATTCTTCACAGACCCCAAGCAATTCCTGCCTCAGGGCCTTAGCACCGGCTGCTGCTTCTGTTCCCAACGCTGAAGCTGCCTGCCTGCGCACCTGCACCTTGCTGCTGTCACCTACTTAGAACACACCACCCTGGAGAGTGGCCTCCATCCCAGAGGAGAGCACAGCCTCCAGAGGCCAGAAGATGCCTACCCAGCACATTGTCAGTGTATTCCAGTGCTTCATGGTCTCCGGCTCCCACCTCTAGCTTGTGACAAGACTAATCCCCGGGAAACACGGTAACATGCTTCTCATGGTCACAGCCACCTGTCAGTGACTGTGGGACACAAACCCTGCTCTGACCTCTACATGGCCTCCTGTCATGAAAAGCAAAGCTTTTCCAAAGTTGGAAGTGAAGTTTGAGTTTGATCTACTCTCACACATTCGACTCAGAGAGGTTCAGTAACTTTCCCGGGGTCACACAGCAAAGCAGCATCCTGGTTCTGTGTCTCCTAATGCCTCACCTGATGCTCTTTCCACAGGCCCCAGAAGCTCCCCAGGTTAAAAACAGGGTCAAAGTGACAGGGAGGAAGATGTTCCTACACCAGTGGCAGGCGGGAAGCTCCCTCCAGACGTGAGCTAAGAGGAGTGGGCCAAGCTTCTCCAGGGCTCAGGAGCCACCACACTCTGCCATTGTGGGCAAGCACCTCTACCCCTCACAACCTCAGTTTCTCTCATAAGATGGGGGCTACTTGGGAGCAAAGATAGCAACAGCCAGCTGAAGCCATGACGCCTGTTTTTAGCTTCCTATTGTCTTGTGGCTGAGAAGAAAGCAAAGGAAACTAAGACATTCCATAAGTAGAAAAAGAAAATTCCAAGGCTAGGCAGGAGAAGGGGGTGTAAGGGCCCAGCCCCATGACAATTCCACAAATTGTAAACACAGTGACAAAGAGGCTTTGAAGCCTGAGGCCAAGGCCCAAGGCAGGAGGGTTACCGGGCTGTGGGGGACAGCTAATTCTGGAATCAGGGGTGGGTGACTGGTGCCAGTTGCCAGGAAACCCAGGCTGACTCCTGAGAGTGAGCCTGAGAAATGAGAGGGGCACCTCACCCTCTGTTAGGAAGCCACCTGGGCCCCTGAGCGCTTCCTGCTACAACACCAAAGGACTCACGGAAAACCCACTGGCCAAACCCGGGACCAGTGGTGATGGTGATGATGGTGGTGGTGGTGGTGGTGATGGTGTGTGTGTGTGTGTGTGTGATTGTTCAGTCTGTGGACCTGGGAACCCCGGGGTCCAAAGGGGGACAGAGGGCTCTGACAAGGTGACGCTCACTCGTACTCCAAGCTCTAGCCCTTTTATGCTGTCACATACTTGGAAATAGAAGCAAGCCAGTTGCAAGGCTTCCATCCCTTTTCCAGATTCCACCCTCTTCTCGTCTGGACCCCAGAAAGCCAGTTGCCCCAGGGAAAAACAACTTACACTTCTGTGGTGATGAATCCGGTGAGCTCTGACAGGAAGAGGAAGAGGATGAAGAGGCAGCAGCAGATGGAGACTGTGGAAACACGGAGTCAGCGTTAAGGGTGCAGGATGCTCCAGGTAGGAGGCCAGTCCTCCATGCCCCTCCCACCACAGGGGCGGAAAACTGCTTAGAGGTCCCGGCATGCACACAGGGTGAGGATACCTTCCCAGAGACCATCAAAGCCCCCTCTTACTCATGACTTAAGTGTGTCCCCTTTTAACTTGTGGCCTCAGTATAAGTCCCCCAGAAAGTCGCCATTGACCTGACTCTGAGGTCAGGGTGGGCCTCAGAACACAGGCAACAGACTCTGCTAGGCTCCTAAAGATCTCTTTGTATGCTGGTGCACCACGAGGGACTCTGTCCACAGTGAACATCTGGGAGATACCGTGTGACTATCTGGATTCCTGGCTTCTGTGAAACACATGGCCCCTGTCCCACAGCCTGCCACTGTCTGTCCCTCTGTCTACAGCCAGTGCCCACCTGGGCATTGTTCGATGTGATAACGGTGAGGGCGGAATCAGCAGAAGCCATATGGCGGTTTGGGCTCGCTTCCCAGGTTACTGATATGCACAGCCCTGCCCTGATGCTAGTCAGGGGTAGTGGGTCACCGCACCTGTCAACCAGCAGTCACCAGAGGGGCAGCTAACACACCAGAGAAGCTGCCAGGCTGAGCTGAGGTGTGCCATAGACTGGAATTGGCCATTTCTATTTATGTTACTTTGAAATTACAGCAGGACTGCTGGGACACAAATCGGCATGTCACAGTAGAGACGCAACTCTGTCCATGTCCATCTGTGTGTTTGCCACCTACCTAACTTCCTATCTGTCTTCAGGAAGGACCAGTGTTTACTGAGCACTTATTACATGCCCATGATGATGCATTAACAAACCACTCCATCATGACACCATGGCACCAGCCTGATGGGAGCTCTGGTGTAAAAATGCAGGCTGAGGGAGAAGGGACTGGGTCCCCTTATCCTCTACGGTCAAGGCATCCAGAAAGACTCTGAGAACTTGGTCTTCAAGGGAAAGAAGGAACACAGAGACGGGGACTGGAATACTTTGAACATCTGCCCCACTTCGAAGAAGCTGTATGGGGTATGACATTTAAAGGCCTTACTTTGGGGTAAAATAGGGAATATGTACATATTATAAACAAGAAAAAAAGTTATAACTAGGCACACAAGCACATTAAAAATGTTAATATACATAAACATCACACCAATAAATTATGTTATATGTATTATATAACACATACACACACACACACACACACACACACACACACACACACGTATATGTTGGCAGGCCTGGTGACACACATCTAAAAGCCCAGCATTCAGGAGCAGAAGAACTCAGGTGAGAAGGACTGCCCAAATTTCAAGGCTGGCCTAGACTACACAGCAAGTTCCAGGCTAGCCAGGACAGTCTCTCAGAAGCAAAACAAAAAGTATATATCCACATACATAGATGCAGACGTACCTAATGCAGATATGTGTACTTTGAGCCCCTGTTCACTTAAGCCAATACCCTCTTTCTGCCATGCTTCAAACACTCAGCAATCTGTAAACAGGTCCCAGCTCACACAGTGGCCTTGTTTTGCATGGAGATTAAGTTCAAATATCCTTTCCAGCTGTGGAATGAGTCCCCAGAGTGGCTCAGCTACTGATCCAGGTCCTGGCTCCTGGTCTCTCTGCCCTACAATGGTGGTTACTGCCTCTTGGGAAAGACCCTGCCAGCAGGCACAGCATCCTGCAGCTGTGCCCTTCTGTCCAGTGCCACCCAGGCATCATTTTGTCCACACCAGCCCAAGTGGATGCTGCACTATATGACACAAGGAGGGTTTCCGAAGGTCATTGCTCATTTTAGGATGAATGTTGGTCCTCTAGCTGCCCTCCCTGCTCCATGCCTGCGGATACACCCCAAGACTTACTCAAGACTTGGTCCAAAGCCTGGTTAACCCAGCAGGTAGACAGGACCCATGTACTTCACTGTGTAAGTGCACCTAAATCCTGTCTCAGACTGGGGAGCCAGAGGTGAGGTCTGGGTACCACTGTAACCTCAGTGCCCAACACGGTGTTGGCTCAGAGAAGGCACAGTTAGAAACCATGAAAGCAGGTAGCAAGTATTCCAACCAAGGCCTTCAGATCACAAAGGCTGGATGAGGGCTTTCAATCCATGTTTGGGCAAGGCTTGGAGGCTCTCTGACTCCAGACTTCTAAAACTGACTCAGGCCCTGGGCAGTAGGAATGTAACCCCAGGAGATGCTTGCTAGTAAGAAGCCGGGTGCTGCCAAGTTGAAGGGGGCAAGACCTGAGACCTTACAGCCTGCAAGAAAGTCAAGGAGTCTGTCCAAGGTCACATAGCCGGGTAAGGGAGGAGGCAAAATCCAAAGGCTGACGTTCAAGCCCCAGAATTTTGCTGTCTCCTTCAGCTATTAATAGCAGTCGTCCCACAGCGTAATGCAATGGTGCAGGCCTGAGCTGGCCTGCCAGGCTCGGCTGTATGAGCCTCAAGGACGAGGACCGAAGCCCATTCATCAGCACTGTCCCAGCACTTGGCACAGGGCCTGGCCCTAGGTCCAGCTTAATAAATATTTGTGCACTAAATGGTAGCTAGGGGCTGGCTTCCCATGTCTCAGACCTTCCCCTCGTGTGGTGAAATGCTCATCATACCACGTTCCTGAGAGCTGCCAGGCAGAACTTTCTAAACAGTTGAAAATGTACATCCCCTTGACTCGGTGCTCCTTTACCCTGGAGAGCTACCTCACAGGAATGGCCACAGAAGATTCCAAGACTTGGCAAGGATATCTGTATGGCAATAGGCTATAATCAGGCTGGCTACCCTCAGTGCCACAGGCCAGCCAGCAGGGACACAGGAGATGGCTGGATAGAAGGCAGAGCTGTTGATGGAGGTGGGAAAGGTGTATCCGGTGTTCAGTAACAGAGACATGGGGGGGAGGGCACAGCTGGCCCTAGTGTGCAGGACAGGGGTACAGGGTACATACCCAATTGCCCAACAGGTTGGATAAGGCAAGACTGGAGAAATCTGCAGGGAGGCTGAGCTGCTATGTGGCAGCAGGAGCCTCATTTCTCATAGTCTAAGCAAGTCTTTTTTCTACTGGGGGGAAGGAAGCACCGAGCTACCTGGTTTCTTGGGTGACATATTCCTGTGTTAGCTGTTGGCTACGAGGAGTCACTTATGCACTGAGGGCTCATGTGCCCCACCCACTTGCCCAGGGACACACAGATGCTACATAGGAGGATGAAGCCAGCTAGCTTTTCCTGACAGGAAGGCCTGCGAGCTCCCAGGCAGTGTTCTCTTCTCCACAAAGAAGGTACATGCTGCTTTAAGAAACCCAGCTAGAGGGAGGGCTAAAGAGCTAGCTGGAGCTGTAGGGATCTCCAAGGTCACCAATCTACCTGAGAGTGGACTCCAGGCTGATCACCCGGCCTCTGTTCATACTGCAAGGCTGGGGCAGTTGTGAGATTCTCTGTCCGATACCAAGCATGTGGGGCGGGGGGCACTCAAGACCTAATCTTGACTGTCCCTTCTGTAAACAGTGACATTTTGGATGAGTCACTTCCCCTCTGAGCACTGGAGACGTGAAGCCGAAGTGTTGCCACTTACTCAGTGGTGACTTTGATTTGTTCTGAGTACTATTTTGGGGGACCTTTTCAGTTGTGGAACAGTAATGGATGCAAAGCCAGGACGGTGCCCACACAGCTTCTCCTGGATGCCCCTGTCACACTTCGTCAGCGTGGAGGAACTCGTGCCGTTGCCGTGCTCCTAGCTCTGCCATAGCCTTTACTCAGGCTGCACTGGCTTTTCCCAGGAAGGCTGTTTCTGTTCTGGGGACAGAGCCTGGACTCTGCCACGCATTTACTCCTCCTAAGTCCTTCTAGAATCTGTGGTAGTCCATCCCTCCTCCCTCAGCTTTTCAAGGCCTTGCCCCTCTGGTAGTGTCCTGCTTTGGTATGTGGCAGAAGACCTCCAGTCTGGGACAGCGAGGCTTTGTCACATTCAGCATGTTGTAGCTTAATGGGGAAGATCCCTCAGTGGCAAGGTGACTGAACATCACTCAGGCATTCATAAGTCCTCGTGACCAATCACGGCGATGCCAACCTCCCTCAGCAGCTGAGCTGTCGTCTCCAGGCTCCCCTATGGGAAAGTTACTGTTTTATTTCTACTCTCTCTTCCTTGGCAGCGAGTTGCTACATCCAACCCACACTTGAGGAGGAGTATTCACAAGGGTTACCAGAATTCTTCAGCAGGTTGGTCTTCCCTCCCCAATTCCTTTACAACAGGCTCCAAGGCCTGTCCTCTAATTTTTTGGCTTCCAAACCAACAGTCACTGTTTGTCTTTTGCTCCAGCTTTGGTCCTTGGGCCCTCTTGCCCTGCTGACACAACTGCTAGGCTCAGATTATACCTCCCCGCCTGGTGCTGCAAATGGCCTCTTGTCTGAGACACCCTGGTTCCTTCGATTGAACCAAGTCAGTGAGTTTGTGAATTCTTTTAGTGACTGAAATTATTAACAATTCAAATAATTTCAAAGGCAGGAAGATAAAAGCAAGCTTCCCTCCCACCTCTGGTCTGCTCCATTAGATTTTTTTTTCAGTTCTTATTTTTTTTATTTTTATTTAATTTACTACTATTGTTTGATGATGGTGGTGATGGTGATGATGGTGTGTCTCCCTCTCCTTCCACCATGGGTTCTGGGGCTCTAACTTAGACCATCAGGCTCACACAGCACATGCTCTTACCCGCTGAGCCGTCTCCCTGGCCCTGTATTTAGATTTTAGGAGAGCTGGTATTTTGAGAATGGGGTCCAAGTCTGAACAGGTGATTCATGTTTCAAGTGTACTTATCCATGCAGCCTAGAGGTAGTACCACTAATCAGTGCCACCCAGCAACAGGGCGGGGGTGGGCAGGTAGGGGTGGAGGGTGGGCTTTCCACTAACAGTACATGTCAGGGCTCAGAGTTCTGGATTTAGGCATAGAGGTTTGGATCTAAGAGACGTAGCTTAGTCGTAGAGCATCAATCCCTAGCACTGTAACAAGGAAAGGGAAAAAAATAAAAAAAAACTTCAGATTTTGAGATCAGGGATCCTAACTGCATTGATATTTTCCTGCATTCTTCGATACACAGTGGATGGTTCTACCTTGCCAGGCTATATAGCAAGGACAGAGATGCTTTCTAGAGGCGAGTGGCCTGTGGGATGCTGGGCGTGTCTTCTCTCCCACCTGACTTTCCTTCTTTCTTTCCTCCTTGCTGAAGAGTTCTGCACAGAGCAGAAGTATGGCTCTCTGAGGAGCAGGTAGAGGGCCGGGGTAACGGTGGGAAGTCAGTTACTCACTAATGGCACCAGTGTACGTCGGCTGCGTGAGGTCCTTGGGTACCTTCCTGTAGATGTCAAACCTGTGGTGAGGAAACAGAGGAATCAGACATGTGCAGAGTCTGGGGGTGCTGGTGACATGCCACCTGGGTCAGCAACCACAGCTCTTACCAAGAGTCTCATCCAACACCCTTTGAGAGACCTTGAGAGAGTCCTACTGTCTTAGGGATCAACTGATGTGGCAAAACACCATGAGACAAAAAAACAAGCCAGGGAATAAAGGGTTTATTCAGCTTATACTTCCATACTCCTGTTTGCCAACAAAGGAAGTCAGGGCAGGAACTCAAACAGGGCAGGAACCTGGAGGCAGGAGCTGATGCAGAGGCCATGGAGGGGTGTTGCTTACTGCCTTACTCCTCGCGGCTTGTTCAGCCTGCTTTCTTATAGAACCCAGGACCAGCAGCCCAGAGATGGCCCCACCCACCCGTCCTGGTTCATGCTCCTGCCTACAGGACAAGGTAGGGTCAGCTGGCGGTAAGGATGGCCCCATCTCTGGTTGTCCTCCCTAGCTTTTCTTTTCTGCACATGTCACCAGGGCCAGGGAAGTCCTGGGATTTGATGGGGAAACGTGGACCCCTGAAATCAAATGGGCACCGTCTTGCCCTTAGTCGATTCAGGGTTAGGAGTCTGGGATCAGACTTCTCTGGTTTAAACCTTGGTAAATGCTCTTTCTTGTCCTGTAACGTTACTTCTCGGGGCCTCACTTTCCTCATCTACAAAAGCAGGGCTGGCTACTCCCGCTAAATCTTGCAAGGTGACTGGGGGGTATAAGAAACCCCTTCTGAGGGGGGCTTCCATGTACTTGGTTTCCTTTTTTTTTCTTTTCTCTTTTATTCATTTTACACACCATCCACAGTTTCTCCTTCCTCCCCCTTCCCCTCCACCATCCTCTCCTCAGAGAGGGTGAGGCCTCCCATAGGGAGCCAACTAAACATGGCATATGCAGTTGAGGCAGGACCAAGCCCCTCCCCGCTGCATCAAGACTTCCTCTCTTTCCCTGGACCACAGGCAGCAGGCAGCCAGTCTCCTCTTAACAGAGCTCTGTTACCAGGACTCTCATCCGCATGTCCTCAAGCCAGAAGGTGGAGCTCGACCTCAGGGAGAGGCTGGCACAGAACAGCCCCTTTCCTCTTTGGTGATTGGGCAACCAAACACACCTGTTAAAGCTTCGTCTGAGTCAAAGCTGGTACCCAACTCTGGTAATTATACATGAGCCACCTATCTGCTAAGGCCTCAAGGGAGAAAAACTGTGGGATGCCAGGCTAAAGGCTGCCACTTCCTCTGCTGTCCGCTCTGTGCTCAGCTGTTAGGGCTGGGGTGTGACCGAGCGGCTGGGACGGCTACACAACTCACCCACCTCACTCCTCAGTGACACGCCTTTGATGCGGAGAGGTCAATGAGAGGGTAAACCTGTGCTCAACCATCACCCAGCACCATATATTATCATGGGCATGGCACTTCTCTGGACCTCACCTACTTCATAGATGCAGGAAGGCCAATGACTGGAGGCATATAAATCTCTCAGAACTATGCCTGGCATTCTGCAAGTGCTTAGAGTTTGCTGGTCCTCTAATTAGCCCTCACTCTACCTAGTAGGCCCCTATGTCATGCTGAACCCTCTTAGTCAGTCTGGCCTATAAGCATACAGCTTGTCATAAGAGACAAAGAAGATTGGGCAGGAAAAATCATGGAACAGCAGTTCTCAACCTGGGGGTTGCATATCAGATACCCCGCATATCAGATATTTACATTACAATTCAAAACAGTAGCAAAATCACAATTATGAAGTAGAAATGAAGTGATTTTATGATCAGGGGTCACCACAACATGAGGAACTGTATTAAAGGGCCACAGCATCAAGAGGGTTGAGAACTATTATCATAGTGTTCAGGTCAGTCGGCTAGAGACACCAGGGCATGAAGAAGGGCCCTTAGGTCCCAGCGAGGCTTCTATAGGAGGTGATGTCTGCACAGAGGAGACTGTCACAGGGCATGAAGATAGCAAAGACCAAGAACAGGACACAGGCAGGGTTACCGGGGTGCTGTGTTTTATTTTGGGGAACAGTGGAGTGGGAGTGAGAGAGACCCCATGAGGAGCTCCCAGTGTCAGGCCAAGGCCTCCCAGGTGGGGTGCTGTTGTTGTGGGGCTGTCAGAGGACTCACGGGGAGGTGGCAGAATAGGGAGGGAAACACCCAGTGGAGTGTAGGTGGTTTTGACTCACGTGGTCAATAGTCTTCCAACCTGCGATGGTGTGAATGCAGCACTACTTATAAGGGTCCTTAACTTTGGACCATGCCCTTGTCATCCCTCTTGGTGTTGAGCACCAGT